CGTCGCGATCTACATCTCAAGTGACTACATCGTGAGACAAACGATAATACACTTTATTATTGCATCTACCACGATGAATAACAACAACCTTTTCCTCGTTAACCTTTATTGAGCAGAAATGTTATAGAGTGGATGTATAGTTACTGAGTAAAAATGATCAACAATGTTGAATTGTAAGCCAAAAAACGAGGGACTATGAAGACGAAATTCTCCGAAATTGTTTTTTTTTTTTCGCATTAAGCGACGTCGTTAAACACTAAACGTTCTAGTAAAAATTCTGGCAGCTGAAATGACTGTTTTGAAAGTTTTTAAATGTAAACATTCATCTTCGTTGGTTAAGTAGCGTAAGACTTTCTAATTATCCGCAAATGTGTGGGTAGGTTATTCAAAACAGAAACAATTGCTCAGTAAAAAAAAGTTGAAACTGATGCGGGACTTCGCAGTAGGGAACTTATCGCTATTCTGTACTTTAATTTCGGTTACGAAGTTGTACGTTTATGGCAAATTATATTGAACGGCTACCTGCTGAGGCTATTGGTTGGTAACTCACCTGCATATGAAATTACCTAGGGCTGTTCTGTTAGCAACCAAAGTTGGTAATAATCTTATTTATTCATGAGTTTTGGTTATCAGTTCATAACGCAACTGGAAAGATTTTCAACCAGTAACTTTGCTGAAGGACTTGTTTAACGAAACAAAAGTTGCGCATTCACTATTTTTTAAACTTGTATTCTGGTTCAGGAATGAAACCCAATAACCAGTTTTATGTTTTTATATGAATTAAGCATGGAGATCTATCTAGGGTTACAAAACAACCGAAATACATCACTACCCTACAATGTTCATCTCGAAGACGGTAGTCTTTCCGCGACTCATCCGTCGGCAAAAAGAGCGGAGTCGACCCGGCTTGTTAACAGTTCGTCGTTACCGAATTTAAAACGTCGATACATCCCTTCGCTGTACGACAACCAGGATAAACAACTGGCTCGAAAAGTCAAAGAATTTCTTAAAAAGCCTCCATTTAACTCACAGGAGTACTTCGAAATGGTGTGGATACGGAGACAAAGCGAGCATTTTAGGGACAACAAAGAGGTCAGTTTGCGCTCAACCAAAAGTGCGCCTACTTCTGCCGATGAACTGTCACGAAAACTCCGGCATCTACGACCTGAGGAGCGCACCATTCAGTCCATGATTCTGCCACCAATAAGAGATGGCTGCACTAATAACTATCACACCAAATACTCTTCCAAGACAGCGCCACTTGTCGACCCTTCGTTGAATATAACAGATCAACTCAAATACTGTCGATATATTAGACATAAGCCTGTAAGACACCGAGCATGGGAAGACAGAGGTCAAGAAAGTTAGATGTCTTTATCTGAGGCTGTTTGACATTTGAAACCCTCTGTTATCATGATAGCAGTGACTATGCGTAACTTTTTGAACAGCGTAATCTTGTAAGACTGGTGGAAAGCTTCTCTCCGAATGTGGCTGAATATCGCGTCGCCGTACGCAGCGAACACTGAGCTAGACCTACTATAAAACATTCAGTGGCAATGTAACAAGGATGGCTGTGGAAACAACTTCAAGTATGTACGAAATGCGGACCTGTCTTAAAAGGTTTCGCGAAAATTACCTCCTACATGAATTGCTGGTGAGGATTTTATGAAACATGGAGAACTGTACAATAAAATTTTGACATATTACAAAAAAAGAAAAAATACAAGAGAGCTGATCCAATCCATAATTTTCTTGATCAGGAACTGCAAGTTGGTTTAACATTTAAAAATAATTTTCTACAGTAACGTACTGTGAAGATGTAGAATTACAGAGCAAGCGCGAGAGTAAAGAAACTTACTTCCAGCGGTTTCGAAAATATACATAGTTTGATTTGCTGCGTGAATCTCTCTCTCTAATAGAAATTGTTTTCTTTAAAAAAAGGACGATTTAAAAGCTGTGAAACTTAAAGTAATCGGCCTTGACATAAAAATTTGTTTTTTAACAAATCGACGTCTTTCCTGTTGTTGTCTTCTCATTGAAAGATAATTATTGTCATAGCCATATAAAAACAGCCTAGGGATGCTTAACTATTAATTTTTGACAGTGTTATGACGTATTAACAAAGACCTCGATCATGCCAGTTTACGTGTCCAGTGCCACCTGGCTCGTACTTAAAACACCCCCAACCTAACCTGGAACATAGATCTCCTTTGGCAAAGCAGAGGGAGATCTCACTTAACGATCTCTGGGTGCGACCTAACTCCCAGTCGCTCTACATGGCTCATGTCAGCAACAGTTTTTCTTTAGAATTTTTTTTCCTCAAACATTTATAGCCATAGAAATCTCCTAGTATTTTAACATCACACATTTTATAAAACAAGTAAGACTTCAAACTTAAATTACTTTCGTGCTACTTTTATAAACCAGTTTTAAACGCTCTAACGTCTGCAAGGGTTGAATTGTGAAAATCTTAGTCCAAAAATCCAGCCGATCAAATCAATTTAGCATCTACAGAACTACCTTTTCCTAATGTTAAGGCCCCGCAAGCCCAGAGAGACAGGCGGCTCTCAGGACGAGAATGGGGAAAATCACGACCTGGAAATAAGCGAATTGCAAATACTCCAGATAAATGCAATAAATCACAAAAATAAAGTAAACTGAACAAGTTCTATTCTGCACACCTTTGTGTTATTTCTTTTTATTTAGTATCACATTTTATATCAACCTATTCTAACATATTACAAAATATATTATTTATACTATATACTATTTCCTTATTTTTCTTTACAAATATGCACGAAGTTACAGTCGCTAAAATCTATTTCTTAACGAGAATTGCCCATATAATTATTTGTAATATACATTTTGTCTTCTTCAAGCGATGCCAGTCACTGTAATTAACACTAGTTAATCGACAAATTTTGTAAAACTTAAGATGGCTACGCTTTATTAGTACTGTGCAAAACAAATACAATGGAATTCCGATTTCTCGAACCACAAAGGAGAAGAAAAATCGCCAAATCGAGTTTCCATTGTATATGCTTTCCACTGTGGAAGTTCTAAATAATTTGTTTCATAAAAAACTATATATATTTCTTTTGATACGGAAAATAATAGTTTCAATTTACTTTTGTCCCAAAACCACAGAGTTGCATAAATACTCCAAGTACACGCCCAGCCTCCTCTCACAGGCTGTACGAGATAAGCCGAAACCAAGGCACCCGAGACACGTGAAACCGCGCCCTAACAATCCAAATTATGATCACTCCTTGTAACCTAGGAATAACCAAATGATACAGTTCTGGACTCGCCTCCAAGAACTAACTTTGTTGATTTGCTTTTCATCATGCAATGTTCAATGCCTTACATTTTAAAGAATTCCTGTATTTAGTAAAGCACCCTTAAGATGCTCAATGGGATTGTCTTCAGGCTGCACTTCCAAAATCACAAGCAAAAATAAACCAGGGTCTATTGTGAACTCATACATTTGATTGGTACATTGTAGGTTTTGTGCTGTAATTTTAGAATTCTTTACAATGTCTACCAAAACTGCTAGATTATTCCGCCTCATTCTTACAGCCAAATGGTTAAACAGCCAATGCTGTCAAATAAATAAAACGACGTAATTTGCCGAGCTTAATACATACATTTATACTTAAGAAATTAAACTACTCGCACTTGTTTTCTCATTTCTACTGGCGGCTTTTTTAAGCCGGAAACAGAAAACATTTCTCCGTGGCTCTGAAGAATCATACCTTAGAAGAACTCTGAACATTTAGCACTGCCCCCACCAAGATACCCTCAGATAATGGAAAATGTTTTCTGTTACTTTAAGTACTACACAAAAGCAAAAAGTAGATCTTCAGTACGTCAGATGCAATGTACGCACTCTCCAACAAATTCCCCTCGAAAACCAATCACATTCCCCACCTCCGCCACTGAAATGTACTCGTGGAGAGGGATGGGGAATGGGTGTGGTCTTCGAGGGGCCCAAGTTACGCCAGCTGAGAATCTAAGACGCCATATTTTCCATATTTCAGGGGGCCTGACGTGATGTTCCTAACACTGCCCTTTTTGGAGTAATAGCAATCTGGTGGGCGCTTGAACACAACTCCAAACTCTGGAGGGAGAGGGGGTGGTGGCGGTGGTGGTGCAAGTCTTTTTGTGGCTGTTTCTTCTGGAACAGAATCGAGACTTCTGGCTCTGGTTATAGCAGGTTGCTTAAGTTTTGCTGAAACATCACTCATGTGATTCTCTTCGGTTCTTACAGAGAGAACAGGGTCACTATGCACAGATGAAGGCTTCTTCGGTTTCCAAGGATTGTGAAAACCACTTAAGAGTCCACGGGCACTGGAGAAGAGTAAGCCAGCAGTCCGACTTACGAAACTAGCAGGACTGGATGAGTCGGCATTGGAAGGACAGTCATGGGGAGGTTCATGATCAGGAGTGCTGGACCCCTTACGTTTGCGGTTACGCTTCTTCTTACTCTCGCTTGGATTGCAAGGGTCGGCCTGCGGAAAAACAAAAAAATCTCTAAACCCTACCTGTAGTTCAAACTTATCATTACTGACTACCACGTGTTCCCTGGATATTGCTTATAAGAATTGCATTTTTAAACTTCTACACTGAGACAGCATAACTCAGTTGACAATAAAATTTCATGTCATCTGTCAGTTTGACCGATCATTCTCGAGAGTTTTATGTTTTGTTATCCAATGCATATAGGCTCGATTCAATAAACCACAGGTCTATGTACAGTACAGTGCTAAAAAGCTTGTGGGGGAACCAGTGTCCTAATAGTTAGTATGATGGCATGTGAATCAAGATGACTGGGTGGTTGGAGCCCTTGCTGGGGTCAATGTGTTAATTTAATCTTTCAGCATGCATTACACACAATATAAAAGGCTACCAGCAACCTGAAAAATGCTGGAGGTGAATAAGCATCTATAGAAACCAAAGTCAATAATAATTGGTACCTCTAAACTATTTGGCTCTTAGAATTTGTAGTTATGTATTCAAGAATGCCTTGCACACAAACAGTTTATTTACATGTACATGTATCTGACCTTGTTTAGTTTGTTATCATCTGTAGTAGTGCTTGCTCCAACAGTATCTGGTTCAGAATTCTTTCCAAAGCTGCACAGGAGCTGCTCCCTTCCACTTAGAGAAACTAAAAGGAAACAATGAAATGTTCAAATAATTTTGCAATAATTATTTCTAATATTTAAATCATTTTTTAAGAATCTGGATGAGTATCTGGCAACTAAAAGCTAAAATCTAGTATTCAAAAGTGAATACAAAACAGGTTAACACTCAACTTTGTTCCTGTTGTGCTGGTTAGGTTGTAGCTTGTGGTGAATTTAGAAATGTGATTTTTCTAGTAGGAGTCCTTTGAAATGATCATTAGTCCCTCTTTGAAGTAAACATTCTCTGGCTGCATATGCTCAGATGATAGGCTAATACAATGTACTTAAAACATTAGCTTCCCAAATTCGGCATGGTAATTAATTGACTTAATCCAAATCAAGTTAACAATGGTATTGTAACTAAAGGTGACTATGATATTTGACAAAATTTACCTGTTGGCTTGAAGACGTTGTCCTTATGGCCATCTTCAATTGCCAATCTAGGAGGGCCCTTACCATTCATATAGTGTCCTGACCCCCTGGGTGTGTCAGGAATATTATGGTTGTTGTTTCTCTTCACAAACACCACAAACAGCATCAGGATCAAGACAATCTCAATACACAGTCCAATGACATGCCTCTCCATCACCTCCTTGTTGAGGGGATCCATGCGTGCTTTCATCTCTGCTATCACACTGGTCAGATTGTCTAGTTTGGACTGCATTTTTGTGATTTGCTCTTTTTGACTATTGATCTATAAATGATAACATTAATTCTTGAGTTAGTACCAGGCACCTGTAGTCTGGGTGATTTGATGTTCATCCAGCTCAAATTGAGACCAAGCAATAATATGGTATACATGCATGCTGCAGGGATTTCATTAACGTTTTTAGCAGGGGCCAGCTGGTTTATGCAGGTGGGTAAAACTTTTTCATCTGAACTTCTTTATCAGAAAAAACTTCCTCAGATGGTCAAACCAGGCGAACAAAATCACCCTCGCAGTCACAAAATGTACCCAGTACCCTGCCCTTAATGAAACCCCTGATGCTGGGAAAGGGAATGAAACTAGTATTTTAGAATATCAGTGCTTTTTATGAATAAAAACATGGTGATGTACATGTAAAAGAAAGTTGCTTAAAGAGCTTTTTAGTAATTTATTACAATTGTTGTTACTAAATATATAATATATATCTACAATAATGACAAGTTCTTACAACAACTTCTGCCTTCTTCGTAGCATTTGTCAACAGGGCAACTTTCTTGTCAGTGCTCTTCTGTAATTCATCAAGTGACTTTCGGTACCTGCAATCAGTAAAATCAGAAACACATTTTAACACCTGTTTCTTAATAAGTAAGCACAGCTGAAATAGCTTAATCCTCTTAGAAGTTACAAAGGCAGAAAAGTCAAAATTACCCTTCAAAAATTCCCTTTTTACAGTAACAACACTCGAATTACAAACACTTGATCTTTTCAGGGGGGATGTTGCAAAAAGTTGCCATTCAATACATGATAAACTTCTATCTAATTTTTCAGTGAGGACACTCAAAATATGACCTCTTGGGCTTTTTTTTTTGTTCACTGTTTTGGTGACTATAGAATGAGGGCTCTTCATATAATGTAAATGACTAGCATTTTTACAGACAAGTGTAACAACACTAAAATAATTTTGTGTAAAATGAAGATCCCTTATTCTATAGTAATCCAAAATGAACAAAACAATTCAAGAGGCACTCATTTGCGTATCCTCCCTGAAAAATAAAATAAAAGTTTACCGCTTATTGAATGGCAACTTCTGGCAACATCCCCCCTAAAAAGAAACTTAGCCCCCTAATCATGGGCAATATTTTTTGCAATTGAAGCTCTCACCTCCTCACATGGACACCACTTACCTAGACAGACAATAGTAAGAGAGCAGTTTTCAATTCATTGCCACAAAACCCAACACAAAAAGCAAACTTCCTTCAACACTCAAGTGAAAACTGCTCTAAACACTATACAGTGTGCAAGAAACTCAGCTGCAAGTGGCAAGTACAAACTCGAAGATGGTGGTTTAAGTCACTATTTTTTGTACAAGGTAGGTAGGAGTCAATCAAAAAGGGATGGCTCTCCCAGCATGAACGGTGGCATGGACTCAACTTACCTCTGATTTAGTTGTTCCATGTACAATGTACTCATATTCAGGTTCTGCTCCAGAGCCTTGATCTTGTTACTGAGACGAACAAAGATGGACTCCTTGTGTCCTCCTGAACCAACCACTGAAGACAGCCCAGCTGAAGAGGCTGCTGCTTGCTGTGCTTTACTCAGCATAGCAGCATCGAGGTTAGCATCTGATGCTGCAGCCGTAAACTCTTGGCTACTAATGCTTGCTATAGGTGGAGCTGACAATGGAAGAACAGAGTCTGAAAGGTCATTAGTGTCACCAATTGGTGCAGAGGCAGGCTGAACTGTTGGACCTACACTTTGGAAGTCTACTACTACAGTTGATGTTGTGCCTTCAGGACCACTCTCCTGGCTTTCTAAATTAGGAGAAGTCTCCTTCTTCTCAGCATCTTCAGATTCCAGATTCAGATTTTGAGATTCAGTTACTTGCTTGTCTTGCAATGCACTATTCAAAACTGGCAGTGGGTCTTCTACTACTTCAGCTGTCCCTTCTCGTCCTTCTTTATCAGTGAGTTTTGTCTCCAACACATCAATATCTGAAGAGGAATTCGGCACCATGTGGAGTGAATTTGGAACTTTGGCTTCAGTTGGCGTTATTTCAGCTTTACCTTCTATACTTTCGCCTATTTTATCTGGTGTAGTATCCTTGCTTTTCTCCTCTTCCTTGGAAATACTCTTTGATTCTAAAGGCTCAACAGGTTGACTATCTGTGCCCTTATCCACTGATGCTGCAGTTTCGCTGTCCGACATAGTTGACAAGCTACTTGACAGCAAGCTTTGCTGTACAGGTGCTTGTGGTTCCCTGGCAGTTTGTTTCTTGCCAATATCAGATTCTTCTTTTACAACAATCACTTTCGATTCTTCAAACACAGGTAATTCTGAACTTTGAAGTGTCACAGAGGAGGTAGATGATGATTGGGTAGAATTTAAAGGTGTTGCTGTGACAACTGACACTTCCACTAAAGAAGGGGTTTGGGTATCAGAGGTTCCACTTTTCTGTTCCACTAAAATGGCTACTGACTGACTAGGTTTTATAATTCTAGAGGAAGTGTCTTCTGTTTCTGCAACATTCAATGGAATAGAAACAGTGATTTCACTCTTCACATCCAAGTTGCTAGAAGTGAGTTCTAGGACACTGGCAGAGGATTCTTGGCTTTCATTTTCTGATGGTATATTCTTCTCCACTGAGATTTCATTGACTGACAGCTTTTCCTGGATAGTCACATGTACCTCCTGCTCATTTACTTCTCCTTCTTCATCTCTTTCCTTTTCTCCATTAGGTTTATCCTTTTGCTTCCTTGACTTGCTATTAGAATTGGTTGTGTTAAAAAGGTCCGTTTTCCTACCATTGATACCATCTAAAAATGTAAAATCCTGGTACTGCTTCTTAGAGAACAACAATCGTCCCATGAAACATCCCAAACAGTATGGTCCAATTGCTTGAGAAAATGCCTGACAGGGAGTTAAGGCAATACTGGTTGTCTTTGATTGCTTGCCATTTTCCACTTCCTTACAAAGTGAACTATCTTCACTGCTGGTGTTTACAGATGTAGATTTCCCTTCTTGTGAATTAGCATTACTTTCATCTTGTTCTACTGAAGTGCCATTAGAATTGTTTGCCTTGCTGTCCATGGGGCTTTCCTCAAGCTCTTCATGAACAAGAAGAGTTACAATCTTGTTCTTGCTTTCAGCTTGGGATTCACTCTCACTGGAAGCCTCCTCACCACTTGAGTCAGGGAAGTTCAGCGCAATACTACCTTTCTCAAGGGTACCACCCGCTTTCTCTAAGTCATCACCACTTTTTTCTTTGTCTTGCCCATTTCCAGTAATTTTCTTGACAAGACTAATCACAGTATCAGCAGCTCTTTCAAGGAGATTAGGCTTTTTAGGTTCATCGTCAACCTTTGCCCCAGGTTCTGGAGGTAATACTGGCACGTCAGAGTCACTATCAGAATTTTCATTATCATCCTGTCCCTCTATCTCATGATCTTCCAGCTCTTCCATCATACTGCTGCCATACACACGTAGAAGGCTCAGTGGGCAGTAATGTTCAGAGCCAAAATGACTTAGCATCTCTACCTACATTGTCAATACAATTGTACAGCAACATTAAATGATGATTCTCTAAACTCCATGTACATGCAAGTTACTGGAGATTACAATCTTCCTCTGCATCTCCAGATTGTGTAGGAAGGAAGATCTTTCATGTACATCCCCTGGTGACAGACACTCCCTCAATTTAACACCCTCACTTCGCTGAGTTCAAAATTCCTATTACTAAACTACAACTGTCCAGTCATACCCTTTACTGTTAAACACACTCTACTGTATTTCCACCATCTAGCCTGCAGGTCTCACGAAGAGGGCTTTCAATATATTTCTGGCTCACACCCTCAAACTATGAATCTCATATTTTCTCATTAAAAATAGGGTGAGTGGAAAGCTTGCCAGAAAAAGAGGAGAGGGCTACATAAATGGGCGAAATACAGTTTAGTCATTATTTTTGACCAGTTCTTCTCATGACATCTCTGTACATGTACATGCTGTAAGTATTAAGTCTAGATAGTTTCTCTATTTGTTACAGGTACGTTCTTATGTCATCAAAGCATACAAGATCTGTGAAAAAGATTTTCAAAAAGCTAAGAAACATTAGTGCTCAAACATAATGTCTAACATACTGTAAAATTAATTGGAGAGTTTGAAAATTCGATTAGACCTATGACTAACAAAAATGCACTAGTAAAATGTGTAGGAACCATACCTTGAAGTACTTGGCATAAATTGGTTCATCCAAAGGAAAGGTCTGTATTGTTCTCTCCTCACGAGCTTGAAATGTTCCTAACATTGTCCACTCTCTTGTTGGATACCGCTTGCTAACATAAACCCGAAAACTTTCAGGTGTGGATGAGAACAGTTCAAAGTTGGCAATCTGAATACTCTTGACATGGGCTATATCACACAGCTCAACAACAAACCAAACTTTCGCACTACATGGGTTTAGCATGTACAAGTCCTTGTTCTCCACTAAAATACTGTCAGCATTTGATGCCTCATCATTATGATCAAGAATCTTTGCACCACAGTCCACAGATGCGTAATTGCTCTGTTTTCTTTCTTTGACTTTCTTAGGTTTAAGTTTGTGGGCAGTTCCATTGGAATTGTCTGCACTCTGTTGTTTGCTCTTCTCCTCCTCCTCCTGCAAAACTCTCCTTTTGAATTCGTCAAATGATGGCATTTCCTCCTCCTTGGGTTTGGTCTCTTCCTCTGCTTGGTTCAAGGCAGCTGTAATGCTATCATCATCCTCTTTTACGGTCATAGGTGAGGGCGGGGTTGGAGCTGGTTTACTGCTGATTACAGCTGGAGGGCTGCAGTAGCAAAAGCAACATTGAAATTAACATAATTTACTTTTACCATGACCATACAGTATCCAACACAAAATGCTTCATCAACCGCCC